AATACACGTGAGTTTAGAAGTCTAGAATGTATAAAATTGTTGTATAAGACTCTTGTTCGTAGTAGATTAGAGTATGCAAGCGTAATATGGAGTCCTTATTACAATGTACATATCAATGCAATTGAGCGTGTTCAGAAAAAACACTTAAAACATTTATATTTTGTAATGTCTGGCACTTATCCTTATAGGAATGTATCATACGATAGTCTTTTAGATCAGTTTAATATGCCAAGCTTAAATTCGAGGCGAACTTATAATTTACTTGTATTTTTATATAAATTAATTCATAGTATTATTGATAGCCCTGTTTTACTTAGCAATGTTAATTTTCAGGTACCGAGTTATGGAGTTCGCTCCTTTACTAGCATTTCTTTTGAAACGCCTAATACGAATCAGCATCTACACTCGCCACTTTTAAATATGTTTCGTTATTATCACAGCGTTCAAAACAACGTCGATATTTTTGAATCTTATATTATTTTTCAGAATAGAATCAAACTTTTACTTGATACGAACTTCTTTTAAGTGAATTTATCTTTAGTTTGTAAGATTGTATTCTTTTTAATACCCTACAAAAACATTTATGTTTGTTGGGTTATAATAAAATATTATTATTATTATTATTATTATTTATGTTCAATGGAGTGAACCATGCTTCTAGGTTTCACCCATTTTTGTTGATAATAATTTTTTAACCGAATATTACGCTTAATATTAGACGAAAACAACGGTGAAAATTTAGAAAAACGAAATGTTATTTTAGGAATCAAGTGCCAGAAGAAATGTCCAATCAATGCTGTATAATTTAGAATATAGACTTGGAAAATCATATCTTTGATTTTTTGATAAAATTTCGAAATGCATTTCGTGTAGGTACCTAACCAAAGATTGTTTTTAACAAATGTAAAGACACTAATACAATAACAGTTGCTAAAATTGGTGTTATTGCCGTTAAAAATCTAAGGCAAAACGTGAAGTAGATTCTAAAATATAATGTGAGAAATAGTAAAAAAATGAAAATTTAGATATATGAAAATTCTGAAAAAAATCGACTAACAACGAAATTTAAAACAATAAAAATCACATTTTAATGGATGCGGAATGATACGAAATTTTCCAAATTCACGTACCGACTCTTGAGTTGTGTCGTTACAATGTGATTTTTATCTATTAAAATTTCGTTGTATGCCGATTTTGCCTCGAATATTCACATTTTTTTAATTTTATTTTTCTGCATTTATTACAACATATTTTAAAATATACCATAGATTTTTAACGTAGTACCCATAAAGAGTACTAATTCTAACAATGAAACTGTAATGTAATTGCATTCATGTGTTTAAATAAAAAAAAAGCTTTATTTGTTGGTTACAGAAAGCGTGTTTCGAAATTTTCAGTAAGAGAGATTTTTTTTTATTATTGAGAATTTTGCAGTTGGTCTTTGACGAAGTAGTAGTTAATACATTGAAATTATTTTTTTTATGAAAATAATGAATAAGAAGTCTTTTCTTCCCGTTAGGTATTTTTCAAATCAAATCGTGCCTCAAACAATGCGTAAATGCGGCATGTTTCAGTTAATGTGCCGCATCCGGAATATCGCTCGAGTTTCAAAATTTTTAACTCAAAGTCAAAAACAGTTGCCAAATACTCCTTCATTACAAAAAATTACTGCTTCCTCTGGTAAATAATTCCACATATTAATAACTCCGTTGGGCCAAAAGTGTGTCTAGGGAGTGCTCTAAATTGTGGTTTCAAAATTTTTTTGAGATCTAATGAAATAATAACACCAAAGTCCCTCTGATAGTCCATGGGGGTAATTTAAATCCTGCGATATTATAGATGAGCTTGGTATTATTTCTGCCTAGGTGAAGCACAATACACTTTGTTTTATTCAGTGGCAGTAGCTATCTTAAGCACCAAGCAAAAATAGAAGAAAAAAAGGTTATAGTCGGTTAGAGGAATAGCATATAATTTGGTATCATCGCGATTTTTGTAGATACGTGAGACGGTAAATCAGCGACGTATTGGAGAAACAACAGTGGACCTAAAACGAAGCGCTGAGGAACTCCGCTTACGACCGGTCGACTTTCCGACAGACTATTACCTACTCTAACACAAAATTAACTTTTGGAGAGAAAAACATCAACCCAAGGCAACAATTTCCCTCTAACGCCAAAATGTTCAAGTTTCAAAAGAAGTCAATTCATTGGAATCTTTTCGAAGGCGCGGGCAAAATCTAGATAAATGACGTTAATGCAATAGTTATGATCCATATTAAGAGTACAGTCATTTAAACAGCCTAACATGGATTTTGCAATTAGGATCCGCTCCTCGGCTTACGACGAATAAAAAAATGATCAGAATTGAGATAGGGCGGGTGGGCGGAGTTTATATTTTGTCTCAACAAGAAACTTAAAAATAGGTAAAATGGTACATTTTTGCAAGGAAATGTGGTTTTCACAATTATGGGGCGAAGCCTAATTGCAAAATCAATATTTCCTTATACAAATTTTCCATGTTAAACATGTTTTAAGTTTCATCTTGTGAAAAGATGGCTATGTATGTTAGGAAAAAAAGGCAAAATATAAGCCCCGTCCACCCGCCCTATCTCAATTGTGATGATTTTTTTATGCATCGTGAACCAAAGAGGCGGAGCTTACCTAAAAAATACTTATTTCTTTACAAGAATTTAAAAATATGTTTTTGAGTATTGTGTTCTTCAAAAAATACTAAGTATATGAAGAAAAAAAGGGCAAAATATAATCCCCGCTCACCCACCCCTTTTCAATTGTGATGATTATTTTTATTCTTAGAATCTTAAAACACTTTTAAAATAGTAAATTTTTGTAAGGCCATATGGATTTTGCAATTAGGATCCGCCCCTCGGCTTACGACGAATAAAGAAAATCATCGGAATTGAGATAGGGCGGGTGGGCGGGGTTTATATTTTGCCTTTTTTTTCTTAATATACATGGCCATCTTTTCACAACAAGAAACTTAAAAATAGGTAAAATGTTACATTTTTGCAAAGAAATATGGATTTTGCAATTATGGGGCGGAGTCTAATTACAAAATCATTATTTTCGTATACAAATTTTCCATGTTAAACATGTTTTAAGTTTCATGTTGTGAAAAGATGGCTATGTATATTAGGAAAAAAAGGTAAAATATAAGCCCCGCCCACCCGCCCTATATCAATTGTGGTGATTTTTTTATGCATCGTGAACCAAGGAGGCGGAACTTACCTAAAAAATACTTATTTCTTTACAAGAAATTAAAAACATGTTTTTGAGTATTATGTAAACTCAACTTCACAAATGGTGTCGGAAACTTTCTCAGTTAATATTTTGGGTAAATTGATTGGAGAAGGTTCAACAGTAAATGACGAGGAAAAAGTATCAGTAAAAATGGATGCAACTTCTGCAGAATTATCACACATAGTACCATCCTCTTTTTTTAGCACCGGTATACTAACTTTTGTACTAACTGATCGAATATATTTGAAAAAACGTGTATGGTTGTTGAGATCTAGCACTAGCTAGTCTGTTCGACAGTGCGTTTGAAAAAGATCTATCTATGATTGTAATAGTCCTCGACATTATTAGATTGCTTATATTTGTTCCAAATGCGCTTGAGATTAATTTGATTGAGTTGATCCATGGTTTGGCAGGAATCTCAACACATACCTTGACATAGGAGCATCTAAGTAACATAGATGACTGTAAAATAAGCTCCAGGAAAAATTAGGATTGTTTAAATAATTGATAATAGGTAACCGAAATTCTTTGACTTCACGTGATAAGAGATCTTACTTTATACATGTCTTGTAATTGTTGTAATCTTGCGCCTTTTTACTACCTATATGCTTTTCGATTTACACAACTTTTGATTCTAAAGTTTTTATGGAACTAGAATGATCCATCATTACCCCATGATTACTGATAGATTTGTTGCATTTAACGATATCAGATTTCAATTCGTCAAATTTTGCATCTAAATCAGTTATTAATTTAGCATGAGCATCTCGAAGAATGCTGACTTCTTTAAACAACGATTGTTGCAATGTAGATTTTTCATTTAGTTTAATAACCATTAGCGTTTCAAAATGATAAACCGTAAGAAAATGCAAAATTATACAAGGAAAAAAACTGCTATAATTACAGACCTTCTTAGAAGGGATGTAGCAATTTTCACCGATTGAGGTTGAATGTTAACTCTAAATATAAATATTAATAATTAAAAATAAATAATAAAAATCGTGTCATCATCAAACATTACAGTTTCGACATTAAATCCTGTAATATTACTTGGCAAGTCGTTGATATTGTATACTTGAAACAGAAGAGGTTCTTTGATAGGATTTCAACAGATCCAAACCCACCCCATAATACTCAAGCTTTGCAAGCAACTAAGAATAAGGAACACAGTCAAAAGCTGCTTCCAGATCAGTGGATATTCCACAGACTTTAAATTTTTTATTAAATGCTTCTCGAATATGTTCTAAAAGCTTGCATGCAGCATTTATAGTACCGAATCCTCTTCGAAGTCCAAACTGTTCTTTGGAAATTATATTGTTTTTATTGAAATAACTTATTGTTTGTCCTTAAATATCTAACACTTTCAAATATTCTTGTGTGGATGATGTAATTAGTTTCGTTGTAAGGTAATTTTTCAGGCGTCAAATTATCATGATCGAAAATAACTCCCCGAACACAAAAGCCATTAACCCGAGTACTTCGACAAATTCATCATTTTTAAATTCACCCTGCATCTTTACACCGCTTTCCTAAGTAAACACGGACAGCATCTCCACACAACAACCCTTTTAAAATCATCGCTTCGAGTAGTCTAATGCAAGCAAATCCATCTCTTGAAAGCTACAGCAAACTGGACTTATTTGCTCGGACTCGAGCATTGTGTCCGCTTTGTGAGTCGCTCTTTAACAATAATTCGAACATCATTGTTTGTTCAATCGAGTATGCGACGTGAAGCTCTCTTACCGGATCCCTTCGTCGATTATCCCTCAGACTGAGTCTCTGCTTCCAATCCCTTTTCTGCGAGGAGTCCGAACTGAGGGATCTCAGCATCGGATTCGACTGCATCATCTGGAAAGAAAGACAATTTGTTATTGAATCGAATTGGCTAAAAAGGAAAAGTCATCACAACGACGAGACGAATAATATTCAAATGGACGCCGATTTAATAATAACTTTTCGAGTGTTTTATCTCTAGTTATTGTTCGAGTCGATGGCTGTCGGGCGAAGACAAAAGAGCTCGGAGAGGTAATAAAATTTGATTGATTGTTGAATTAAAAGCGCGAGTTTTCTTTATCTACGCGCACACACGCTAAGTATATGGTGTTTTTTTATTTAGTGCGATGGAAGTCGGAGATTAAGGTAAATGATTAGTTTACTTTGCACTCCTCGAACGCAGGAATTTTAAATTGAAAATGCGAAGACTGCGGTTACTTTAACCTGAATAACCAAAGCATCAATCACTGCGTTAATGATAAAACCGTTTTATATCATTCTTGATCATAAAAGGTGGAAATTGGTTTTTCGAGCATGAAAACAGGGCTCTTAATGCATGGACTATCTGGAAGAAATGATAAATGTAGAGGTTGCGTGGAGATGTTTACAATAGGTGATCCCGAGTGTGTGTAATTCTATTAAAGATATATTGTGTAACCACAGGCATCTTCTGCAATAACATTTACGTTTTCAGCGATATAATACGTCTGAAGAAGTTTTCCACTGAATCCATACTCACATAACGTCGAAGAATCAACAAAAAAGTCACTGGCGTTAAATCCAGTGATAGCCAAGCAGTTACAAAAATTTAGACATTAAACGCAAACAGAAACAGTCATGATGTTGATACTGCGAAATTTAGAGTCATAAAATAACACAAAGACGCGAAAGATACATAAATAGCAATTAGGATGGCATTAAACAAAGTCGAATCTAAGTGTTAAAAAATAGTTATAAATACGAAACTACTCACGAAATCAAAACAGTTTTATTCCTTGCCCACGTGACAAAACACGCTTTTAACTGCGCTAATAAAACGAAATGAAATTGTCATCATTTACACTTTGAAGTTGAAAGAATAATCAAAGTGTGAGAATTCTTTTTGTAATATTTAGAGCGTGAAGGATCCGTGTTTATTTTTGTTGATTTTGCATTTTTTTTTTTCAATTTTAAAAGCGTACGTTAGGAAATCAAACATAAAATTTAATTAACGATCAGCAATTTAAATCCAATTTAAATAAAGAGTAGTTTGTAGAAGTGTCTTAAAATATATTTTTATTTTTAGCGGGAAATGTAATGAACTGAAGAATTTATGACTAATCCTGTGAATCAATTATTGTAACATAAAATGAATAGGTACCGAATGACAATGCAATATTTTTTGTACATCAAGGGGTGCGACCCTTCAGACAAAGCATTAAAAATTGGTTTTAGCGAAAAAAATCCAAGTCACTTTAGAGTTGTTTTAGGGATACTACCTGTTAATTTTTGTATCATTTCCTAAATAATTTTTTTGATGTATTCTCTTCAGAGGTTGTTTTTACTTCCCGAATGTAACCTAACCTAAGGAAGTATTGTAATTTTAGAACCCCTAGAATACCAAAAAATTGGTCTCTCTTTCTGTCATCCGTCTGTGTCAATTTTTATTAGGCAAATAATCTTAGCCATCTTTTAAACTAATATAAATGGAGCCCGCACGAGAATAAACTTCTGCCAAGATTTATTTTCACGAATACTTTTGTATCAAGTTTTAATTACCAAATTTGCGAAAATATTTATGTTAATTTGTGATGCGAAGCAACGCATGCAATGTAATAAACTTTCCAGTGGTATATAATTAAACAATAAAATAAAATAGAATAATAGTAATAAACTGCACAACCTGTATATTAAAAAGGGGTTATTAGAAATAAATTTAAAGACACAAGTTGTGCGAATGCGAATATTATGCCAAAAATAACAATCGATTTTAAGAAAGCTGCAGCTGTCTCTGGAACCATTTTTCTCTGCTCCTGTTACACCTTCCCTTCCTTTAGTCAGTTATCAAAGTTAATTAAAATTAAAACTAATCGTGCCATCATTCACTCACTGTTATGATGTGTTTAATATACAAGGTATTTCATATAAGACTTATCCTTCTAAACTTTTATTTATCCGGCTTTGTATTACTTGAAAAAGAATATCCCAATTACTGGATATGTAAATGTCTTTTTCATACATCTTACGGTATCGTAAGCATAGTAAATAAAAATTTATGTTTATTCTTCCCAAAAACTTGATGACGTCATTTCAAAATTATAAATCGTGTCTGAAATGTACAAAATATTTTGAGGTTGCACCAATGGATTCACATTTTTACTTCCCGACCCTAAGCGAAGTTAGTTTTTCAAGATTTCTCGACGTTTCATGACCCTTAGAGTGCGAAAAAGGTGGTCTCTGTCGGGACCAATTTTTTACAAAAAAAAAAATCAACAGCAACCAAAATTCTAAAATTTATAATAAAAAAAGGATTCACTAAAACAGGAAAACGTAATTTTCTCTAAAAATTAAAACGACACCCTGTACATCAAAAGAAAGCAATTCAGAAACTAATTTGCAACCAGAAAAAAACAAAGGTTGTTTAGTTTACACGTCAAATCGCCCTCATAAAACGGATTAATGGAAAATAACAGAGTCGTCAAACTTGGTTGAAAGTCTCCAGTAAAAAATGCAGTGCTTAAAACGTGGTCTTCGCCATTACAAGCGACAAAGAGGAATTCCTCCAGGAAGAAACTTGAAAATAACCAACAAGACGCAGCTTAAGCACTTCAAATCTTATTAAATTCTAAGCCAACACAGCCTCTTAAAACAAGAAAATACATCGTCGAGACATATAAACAACGATCTTAGTGGAAAGTAACAAGAAAAAAAATCCACATGAAGTGTCCGATCAAGCTGCGATTACCAACACAATTCACGACAAAGTTAAACGAGAAATCCTGTCGTAGACGGGTAAACTAGGACTACACAAACACATTAGACGAGTTGAGCTCAATGAAATAAAAAACGAATAAATCCTTCTGTGCAAGCGAACATAAAACACGTATAGAGGAAACATTTTGCAGCAAATTGTACTTTCCTCTCAAGTTGAGGATTATACAAAAACAAAGGTTAATTCGGCTTTTATTCTCATTTATACATATGATATACTGGGTCGCTGGAAAGTATCGAAACGGTTAAATATATTAAGAACCAATTGTACAAATCCACTGAAATTAGGTATAGGGGTACAACAATAATTATTCGTTAAAAAAATTTTTTTTCGCTTCACTTGTTTTCGAGATGCAAGGACAACTTTTTTTTTAAATGGCACTACCATATAATTAATGCATTTTTGAATAGATTTTTTTTTTTGGTTTAGTGAAGATCTCAAAAAAATGAGACATAATTTAAGTTTTCTTGACGATCTTCATAAATTTAATCCGTGTGACGATCTTAAAAATGTCAGAAATGCCTACAGGCTTTGTATCGTAATGCTATAAAAAATGCCAAAGTGGCTGCTAATAACTTAATCATTAATTCCGCCGCGGACAAACAAAAAGCCATGCCTAGTCCTAAGCTTGATCCTGTTGTTTCTCTTTGTTGTTAATAACTGTGATATTATTTGTGTCATAACTATTTTATTTATGAGGAAGTATCTGTTGTTTTTGTACACGATGTCATTGCAAGTTTGGAAACCGAGTCCAGCTAGGGATATATTCGGTTTAAATGTAGAAGTACTAAAAAGTATTAAAGCAAGCTTTATGCATACAACTTACATCCCCTATGCTGCAGACTACTAACTTCCTTTCTGACTAATCGTATGCAGAGGGTTAGTTTTGCGGGAAAACAATCTGAAGACATTTCTATTAAGTTAGGCATTCCTCAAGGGTCTATATTCGAGCCGCTGTTATTTAATGTTCGCAAATGATTGCGCTTCACATTTGAAAAAGGGTGGCACTATTTTATATGCTAATGACACTAAGGTAAAAGTCCCAGTCAGTGATAGGGTCCCAGTGGGTGATCAAACGTGTAAAAATAATTGTAAAATAAGAATTGTACAGCAGAAATCCGTAAAATCTTTATAGAAATATTATCTTGAAGATGTCTGTATAAAATCTGCATTTATTTGACTTTTGTACAATGAGGTATTGGTAAATGGCAGTCTTAATAAAAATTTGAAGTCAATTTCCAGCTCAATTTCACAGCTTCTCTTACGTAGATCGCTAAGCAAGTGAGTACCACGATAATTTTATTATGTGGCTTTTTAAGCGTTAGTCAAATTAATGTTAGTACTCCTAGCATGTCATTATATGTTTGAAAAATCATTTAAAATATATTAATTCTCAATAGAATCAGGTTATAATCCATAATGCAATTCATCTACTGGTACTCTTGCAGTGCTTACCAGGTACCATTTAATGGGTCATTGAGGATTAACGCATTATACCAGTTGATGATGATTCCAAAATTCCATTTTTGAAAAGAGTAATTTTAATGAGAACGCTCAAAGTTTTGATAAATATGTTGAAGAAATCACAGACAACAGAACGTGAAAATCAAAATATTCAAGTTCTTCCAATAACTCCTGAAAAACAGAATGACAAAATATTTCTTAAATAGGTGTATTAAATTTATTCTTCGATATACAATGACAAAACATTGACTTATGTTTCATAGCCTTTAAAAAAGTTTCTGGTCGGGCCATAAACTCCGGAAAAGAAAAACAGAAGGGAAAAAAGGAATTGTCCAAAGCAAAAATTCATTCTGTGGCGAGCTCTTCGGACTGGCAGATGTATCATCGGAAAAAAGAAGATAAAAAAAAACAAAAACTAGAACGAAAGAGGTTACACGAAGAAAAGCAACAATAAAAAGAAGCAAATACTTTCAAGAAAGGACAAAAGGTCAACAAATGACCCTACCAAAGGAATGATTTTGTTATTATCAAATATGAGGAGATGTACTACCTGGAACAAATTTTAAACATAGTTGATCAAAAGATCAGAGTCAATGTGATCTATAAAAGTGGCGTCAACACGGAGGCCCAAAAATGGAAA